CAATACGTATTGAAATTTGCAATGTATGGCTCGATTCGGTTTATATTTAGCGTGAGGATTTTGTACCTTTTATTGATTTTTCTACTCAGCGCTCGGTCTCATTTAAATGTGTAGGTAACTGCATAATTATTAAATTAATTCTCTGGAAAGTATTCAGTCCACATCCCCATGCAGATACTATTGTACTCTTTCAGTAAAAAGGTTAGGGAATGCCCAGCTATATCTTGCACAAGCAGTGACTGTATAAAATCCGCAAAATATACACTTTCGAGTATATTCTGTGAAACGCTTTGAGACGTCTCGAAGACATGATAAGGTGCTATATCGAATGCAAGGATTATTATTATTCTACCAACTGCCTTAAGCGGCGTTAAAACATTTTTTTCTCAAAAAAGTACTTAAAAGAAAATATTATGCAAATAGATTCAATGGCAAATATTTAAATCTTGTGCTCACTGTTCCCTGTAGAGAGAGAAAATGTGCTGGTGTCTGTGGCACTTAGAAGGAACAACAGAGATGTCATTTCAGGTGATCTATTATTATTTTAACACTATATACTGCATAGGAGCAACAAGGCTGGTTTCTTCACTGTTCTTTTTCATGGTTTTTGATAGGTTGAAGGGCACTGACTGAAATGTTGGGACTCAAGTTGATACCAGAGATATTTGTCTTTTAATTAAATCACTGCTTAATACAGACACAGACTGGTGACATGAGCTATGTGAAGTGAGGAAATTCCCTGCACTGCACGAAGAATCCTGATTCTTTCAATAGTTTGGGTCCTTTGGAACCTTTTCAAAAGATACATATAGAATCTGCCTTATTTCTACCCACAGTCTTTCCCTTTTGAGTTTCGGAAGCCTTGGTATTTGGCCTTGGTTCTGATCTCCTGAATCGAGTTGAATGAGTAGCTAGGAAGCCGCTAGAAAGATAATTGTGCTTTCCGAGTCGTTTTGCATTAGTGGGGAGATCAATTAAATCAGCAAATGGCTGAGGGAGTGTGTATTAGTCCACGGTGAAAGTCCTCGTTCCTAAGAGAAGCAAGATGAATCAGATAGCTGGGCCCAGAAACAGTCAGTGTTCTACTGCTTTCCAAGACAAATGACAAAGCTATCTAACCATGATTTACAATGAATCCTGCGGCATATTTATACGGCATCTTGTAGCTTTGTTGGCTCTTAGTCACCTTCCCCAGTTTAAACCTGCTGGAATATTCATTATAAACCCTGTAGCAAGGACCACACTGAAGGCACACAGACTGTTTAGATCTTGCTCCCATTCTATTAATACCTGCACAAATGTCACTTCTGCATCATCCGTCAATAACTTCACCTCCAGAAGATTCCTTGATTTACTTATCCAAGGAAACACCTTAAATTATGATAAAAAAAACGCTTTGCGATTTCGCTGTACGCTTCTAAGTTTTTCTAATTTTTTTATATACAAAATGGGCATTTTCCCAAACTTTTTTTAATATATAAGTCTGACTGTTCAGGCTAGGCCCAATTCTCTGGTGTACTCACTATTATAAGAGACTGTGATACCCTGAGACATAGAGAGGAAAATCTTCATAGCTTGCTGAGGACAATAAAACCCAGAGCTATTCCTCTCACTGATATACAGTCACTGAAATTGTCTTATTCTAAAAATGTATCACGTCAAACTGCGGCTGAAATGAGTAAGAAAAGAGCTGATTTGAAAAATTGTGTGATTGAAACCTGGTGGGGAAGGAACATGAACTTTTTCAGAATGGGCTACTTTTCCAAGTCGTCTAGAAACTGGTCTGTACATACTACCGGGATGCTTAAGCTAAGTGTGATGTTGATCGGTCGACTTCCAAACTCGAGATCAGAGAACCGGGAAAGGGGATCCAGGGCTATGGAGCTTCAGGTGACAGGCCTGACCATCCCGTCAATCGCAGCAGATTAGACTCACGATCAAGCTCATAAAACATGGAAATGATGTTTCTCTCCAGAATGTAACTGACGGATACCATTGTTTTAAGGCACTTTGGGATACAATAAACCTGGTGCAGGGTTTTAAACCAATGTTCTCATAAAGAATATTTTTTATAGCTCTCGAAGTAATGACATCTTAAGGGCTTTATTCGTTACATAAAGATGTTTTTTTGCCCAGATCTTGTTTCTTCTAATGAGTTCCAATCTATGATGCTCATCATCTCCTGCTGGTCAGAACTTTTTGTTTGGATGTAAAAAGTTGGGAAAGTTCCACAGCTTCATTGTATCGCTGTTTATGAGATGTTGCTGTGCACAAACTTACTGTCGTATTTGCCCACCGAATACACAGTCACTACACTTTACAGTAAATTCTGTGAAGCACTTTGAGACATGAGACACGTGACATAAATTTCAAGGAGCATTATTATTGTCATGTCAAGAGAGAGAAACGTATTTAAAGCATGAAGCCAGAGCCAAGTACTGTAATACACAATGCACAATCCTCTGAAAGATGTATGAGTAGATCCTACAATGAGATAGATCATTCTCAAGGAGCCCATAGCATATAAGTGAATAGATTCTGTATCAGAGTAGTGCAGGCAAAATTCCCTCAGTCAGACATCAATAAGCGACTAAGAGTGCTATAAGCTGGAATCAGGTGTACAGTATAAATGAGAAGGCATGTGAACAGAGACTGTAGATTCCTACACAAGAGCCATTGATGGCTTAGCAAGCACATAATCCCTCTATGGGCACACTCACGGTCTTGCAAAGTTTCCGTTAAATCAGAGGAATACATAATTCTGTCAGCCAATGCTAACTCACCGGGTAGCAGTTGTATGATTACAAAAAAAAACACTTAGCGCATTTCTCAATGTCGTACAATCAAAGGAATAAAGTGTACCTGGGCTATAAGGTGTTTGAAAGTTCAACCCACATTCAGTGATAGAACGCTACCAAATAGTATCTGTGTAGTGGTCATTCAGAGCTTTAGCCACTGCTGGCCTGTTCATGGGGGTTAGACGACAGAGTTAAGCAAAAGCTTCTTTCTCGGATTACAAGGAAGGCTCATACACAGCCATGGCATTGTAGAGATTCTGTACCAGCTTGCTGACAGAAGAGCGAAGCAGTCTAACACATTATGTTACCAGCAGTAACTGGCTGAGCAGGCACTGCACTGAATGGCGTTGTGAGTTACGTCGGACACGATGGGGTTTCGCTCACCCTTTCACAGTTAGAATCTAAAGTCAGTTTATACAGAAGATCAAAGCTTAATGCCATTAAAATCAATGCACATTGAAGACTCTCTGTACCGTAGAAGCCATTTGTTCGCAATAGCAGTCTGTTTCCAGGTCTCACTTGGAATAAAAGAAGAAAATAAATTAACAAATAGATTAATTTTTTTGTTATTCTTTCCATGGCAACAGAAAGGAGGGCTCCAACAGACCAGGGTTTGTTTTTGTGTGTGTGTATGTGTGTGTGTGTTAATCACAGCACAGTAACACTTGCCTACAATAACCCATTGTACCTGAGCTATGAGTGGTAGTTTTTTTTCATACACTTTGAAATTAATTATTAGAAGGAATTTGCAAATCAATTTTTTTTGAAACCGAAAAGCAACCAGAGAAAGTGAGAAGTAGGTAGTGTTCCCTTAACCTCGGGTTTCAAAGAGAGAGAGAGACCAATTGAGAGTGTAGGCACAACAGCATGGGATCCTAGAGCATAGCAACCAGCACAGAGGAACACTGAAACATTACAGAAAAGCACTTTCAAGGTGGAAAATATATTCCATTTCATTTCTTTTTTTTACTAAGAACAATCATTACATTAGCAAGTTGCTGAGGTTTAGACAGAACCTATGTCCTGTTCATTTTCGAAGGACATCGCAAGAAAACATAAAAGGGAAATGTATAAAAGTGGGATTGAACACTCAAAGGAATATCCCTTTGGAGTTTCAGCCATTGTTAATAACTTTTTTTTTGCTGTGTGATTAACAGCTTCTCTAAAACCATAAGGGTCGATCTTGATGTATATATTACTCTCAGGAGACCTGAGTGTTCACCCCCCCACACCCCCCCACCTCTCAATTAAACACACTTAATAACTCAGGCTCCCAAACAGGTAGACATCAGCTGACTAAGGATTTCCATAGAACCTTAGCATTGCTGCAGATATAACTATTCCCTTTGAGATCAGAGTAGATATTGAGATGTGAATCAATGTGGGATAAAGGGTGTAGCTCACAAAGGTAAGAAGTGATGGTTCTTGGTGAGGTGAGTAACATGAAGGAACTATCTTTGAAGAAGTGAAGCTTGATTTTCATTATCTGACTCAAGGGCCTGCGAGTGATTAAAGTTGGAATTGGAACTGTATTGGATTGAAAGCGTAACAGATAAGAGATATTTGCTGATCAGTGACTCATCTGACTTTCTCTGTTTCAAAAACAACACTGTGTTTGTACTTTATAACTAGAGTTGCGTGAGCCTTAAGACCTTCAGTTGATGAAGGACCTGCCTTTTAACTGATGTTTGGTGCAAGACATTTCCAGCGCCCACGCTGTGTTTGCAATGACCTGGTAATGGTCACACCTGCGAAAGTAGCACATGGCAATAGAGTGCAGCTCAAATATGTGCACAGCATCATTAAACATCACAAAGAGTAGCTACAGGGTAATTTGCTATGAAAATAACGCCCCAGGATAACTAGATCTGTCTCCGCAAACCCTTCAGCCAGTTTACGCCTGGGAACCACACCGAATGTTTCACCCAGCTGACTGGAGCCTGGGCTGGGAAGGTGGGGAGGAGGGAGGGCTGGTTTGGTTTGTGAAATGGAGAGATGGAAGGTGTGTTTGAAATCTACTTTGGGCTAAATTTAAAAAAAAATACCTTAAATGAATATGTCGATACTTCACCAACCTGCCAAATGGCAAAGCCCATGCATAATATGTATCTCGATTTGAACGTTGTACAAGTAATATTTGTTTGACTGTAAACACAAGTTTTATGTCTTTTTCTCTCTTTCTCTCTCTCTCTCTCTCAACAGCAAGCAAGAGTTTGAATGCTGATCATCTTTTGCTCCAAAGCACAAAGGGGAAAAAAAAGACATGAAATATTCTGAGACTCTTTACTTAGATAATAATTTTATATAGACTTTACCTGGTCTTCCATTGTATAAGCTTTTGCATAAAAATGAAACTTTTGCTCAAGGATTCTCCGGCAGCACAGCCTGCTGTTGCCTTCAGTTAACAGCACCAATATGACTTGCATGACACCTTAGAGAAAAGACGGAACAGAATTTGATCCGTTGGTGGACATTCAGCTACAACTCAACTCAAGTCAGCTCAGCACCTGCTTGTTGCACCATCCCTAGCATGCTTTCCCTCTTCTCCCCAACTCCACACCTTGCTCACACGAGCCAACAAGTAACTGATGAGATCGACTCTCAAAAGAACCTCTCTGGATTAAAACCTTTACTATGTGAAGCGAGTCCCAGTATTTCTGCTCTCAATGAGGGCTGGCCATTGGACATTCACCAAGCTACAGAGGACAGCCCTCACCAAATACCTACCAAATACACAGTAAAAAAATAAACAAATATCTATCCCAAGACGTTGCCATATCAATTGTTGTGAAGGACTGAGATCAACAGCAGTTGTAATGGACCAATGTATTCACTCCCGCTGTCGAGGAACGAGGATACCCCCATTTGGGGTTTTCAAATGAAGACAGGCCAACTGTGGGTATTGTTCTATTGTCCTGTAATGCAATGCAAGCAGGAAGCCATATACAACCAGAAAACATCCACAGTGCTTACTCCTGAGGAACTGTGGCACCTGCTGCCTGTAGTTTTGTACCACCGTTGAAGCCCACGGTACAGTACGTAACCACCATAAGAGATTCCACTCTTCTTCTCGTCAAGACAGACCAGCAGCATCCAGTTGTTCTGCCTCACCATCAAGATAACTAACTCACGGCAAGTAACAAAGTGGTCCCTCACCATGGATCAACACCAGCTTTTATCAAGGAGGAATTGGTACCTCAAGGGTATGTTATCAGCTGATGATTCACAAACCTCTGTGCTACTACCAAATCACTCTGATAAAGTCTTATCTTGCTGCTGCACCAGGCCAGATGAGACCTCACAGCCCCACTGCCTGTATTTACATGGACCACTCTGAAAGAGTGAGCACCCTCCCTTTTTTTTAACAACAAAAACCCTAGACGCCTCCATCAACCTCCGCAGTCAGTATGTTTAACAATAAGAACTTCTGTAATTCGAGCAAAGGTTTTGAGACAACTCTTTCTAACAATCTGTTTGAATAATTATGCAATAGCCTGTATTTATTATGCATGCAGCTGTCAATAATATTCTTTAAACGGAGAAGATTAGGTTCAGACCTGCAGTTATAATTGAACTCTGGAAGGAAACAATACGAACAAGTGAAGCAAGTGTCTTTGGCAAACCTCAGCTTGTACAACGGATTTTCCCTATCATTAAAACTGAACTCAGTTTCTGCCTATCAAAAGGATCTTCCCCACTTTAATTTAAGTGATTTGTTTTCCTTTTTGCTTCTGTATTGAAGGAAAGTTTCAATTTGTTCCTTTGGGTTTATGCTTTAGCTCTTTAAATTCCAGGTTGCCAGCCTTTACCGTTTGGGTCATATCCAGGCTCTACAGATCAGGAGCTCAGCCCCATGTATGTATTTATATGTATTCCCCCAAATTTAAGATACTCTAGATCACAATGAGCTAAGCTCTGTTCACAAGAAGCCCCTAAATAAAACAAGCCTTTGAGAGAGAAAAAGGTCACTTTCCGGAGAGGGAAATAGGGAAATATTTATGCCAAAAAGATGGAGACCATTTGCACAATGGTGAAACCTGAGTCATTGCAGTTATAGATTATCTGCTACAACTACATTACAGATAGCTCTCTGCAGAATTCTTTTAAACTGTCGTTCCAATTCGCCGGACTGTGAAATTCTTACACGGTCGTTTTCTAGTTTTTTTTTATAAAGGATGGTGCCATTTGGCACTGAATCTTACAAGAGACTTTAGCAAGTTTGTAAACTGTATTGTGTACAGTATCATGGGCCCCAGCAGTCTTTTATCTCTACTCTCTCTCAACCCCACACCCCCCACCGAACTCACACACACACACACACACACACACACGGCACATCACTCCAATTTTTCCCCCATTCCTCTCCTGACCAGTGCTGCCCAATGCTTATCGGATGCAGCTTGGGTTAGTACAACTATTAGATAAATGAACACCAAGTTACAATTCAGCCTGGCCCTCAGTGAGAACTGACCAGCTGTTTTATGGGGCACAGTTTGAGCACGTCTTATTCAATATGTGCCCTGCATTTTTTACGAAAACAACTGCTTCTCATCAGTTTGATTTTAAAACTTCAATATTTTAATGATCTGGGTGTTGGTTTCCCCACCCTCCCCAAGTCAATCTCTGTGCTCCTGCTTTATTTTGGCTCACGCAAGCAGTACCGTGTGTTGCCTGTACAGATGTGCACTGAAATATGACTGAGCACCAGTGCAGTACAGTCCGGTCCCATCTCAATCGTACTAGGGATCTGCCTCCAGTAAGCTGTGAGATGTAAGGGTTGCAGTGGGACAGGGGGAAATGCAATGACATCCATTTATACAACAACAACAAAATTACATTTATAGAGCGTCTTTCACGTCGGGAGGATGTCCCAAGGCCCTCTGGCCTGACCTCTGTGTGCTGCACACCGGCTTCTGCCTCCTCACATCAAAAGGGAAGGATTGCTGAGCTCATGTGACCAGCTGATTGTGGGAATTGATTTTGTATTGAAAAGTAGGCGATGCTCAAACTCTAACCTTCTGGTCCCCAATCCTCAGATTCCTCAGTACTTGAACAGACTCCACTCTCATCATCCCATGATGATGAAAGCCCCAATCTCCCTCTGCCATCTCCATCTCCACTGAAGGACAAGTGGAAGCAATATTCAAAGACCTGTGATAGAGATTGAATAATATTCACCTACAATCATTTGCAGGATATTTCTCCTCTCACCAGAATCTGGGAAGATTCCCTGTAGGGTCCCACATTCACCAGAGCCTTCATAAACAAGGCAGATTTATCCCCTCTTATCAGGCTTTTTGAAGAGCCTGAAGCAAATACTGTACTTCAGGATATTCCCATGTTACCCGGGCTGAATGAAGTTATACTTTTATTAATAAGGTGACCAATATATTTTGTGTAGCATGCCCCCAATTCATCAGCAAGCAACAGCCAGTTCTTATTGCGAGTCTTTTCCTACTTAGGAAGCAAATGGGAAGTGATGTAATGGCAGAACTAATGTCCTCACTTGAGACTGAGTATGTTGGACATGACTGAACTGTGAGACCTATTATCCTAATAGAAAGGGAGGAAAGTTTGGTTTAAATTTTATTACCGTCTGTTAGTTGTCATAATCAGAGTAACGAAGTTATGCTTGAGATTTGTTCCCATATCATTAAATAGTCAGTGTCTGAGACCCTGTTTAGCAAGGAATGCTCCTCTAAAGGGTTTAGATCATTAGGTGTGCCAATTTGGGACACACATTTGTGCATGAATGCATGTTATTTATTACACATTTGAAATAGGATTCAATGCATATGTGTTGTACTCATAAACAAAATGGTAAGACAGGACTTTGCGAGCGGTACTGAGGTTATCTTACAGTGAGCAGTATTTGTTACCCTTGTAACTGGAAGCAGGCCTTGGAGTCTGTGTTTGATGTGCTAAAAGCCTTGTTTGGATGTTTAGGAGCAGACCTGACGTGGTGGCTGTGTAGGACCGGCCTTCTCATGTGGCTGTGTGGAATAGAGCTTTAGGTAGGTGTTGGACAACAGGAGACCTTTTACATCTGTTGCTAGGCTGTACTTGGCTTTCATTGCTTTGGCATCTCTGAATATCTTACCAGTGATTTTCCCAGTGACATTACAATGTCATGCTGTACTGTAATAATTGCTATTATGGGATTAAGAGCGATGATGCAAAGGCTCATATTTGCAATTTCTGCTCTTGGTGCTCATTTCTGCCAGCTATTTTATGTTTGTTCTGTGTTTTTGGGACTGCATCTCTTGCTGACAGAGGGGATGCAGACACATGGCTCACTCCCAGGTCTCTGTCAATGAAGTTCTACAACTAATTGCTTGGAGATGAAGAAGAGCAGTCAGGGCATAAGAGTTGCCCACCTTTTCAATTTCCTCTCCTTCCTTATAGGCAGACAAATAGACCTTTGCTTACTGTATCCCAATAATATCGCTTCAATTGGGAACTCACCTTGTGTGTATGTTGGTGGGGGTGGGATGGGGTGGGGAAAGATTGCTGGTTTGAGTCGACATCTTGTTGACTTTGGTACAGTGCATTGATGCTCTGCTGCATTGCACCACTTGCCACTTACATAAAATTCTTTACAACAGAGCACCTTAGAGACTGGGTTGAAAGATTTTATTTTGTTCAATAAACGAAAAAGGGTCAGAGTCAAGAGTCAGAGGTCATTGCTTATTTCGTTATCAAAAAGCCGAGGGAAAAGACGCATGACTACTGACTGAACGAATGCTTAGCTTATTTTTAGATTTGTGTTGTCATTTACAATGTCATTGTCATTGCATCAGGGAACGACTGATATTGTTACCAATACCAGGTAATTGGTGAAATACCAATCCAAGCCTATTGTATCAAAACACTGATACACCACCATCATGAGTGGGAACCTGCTCAAAGTCTTATTGGTTTGACGGATTCTCAGGCCTCGTCTTCATTTCAAACTCCAAAACGTTCAAATAATGAACCTTTTCCAAAAGGATCATTCTGTAATTAAGTACCACAGTACTGATGTGAATGGACTTAAATGACACAGTGAAGTCATGAGGTGACCAGCGATGGCATTATTTCTCCTTTTTCCGAGTCGATTTAAAAACCAGACAGTAACAGTGCCATTCATGTGCCAGTATAGTTATTCCAAATTTTCCCAGCGTTGCCGTAACTTATGGTTTCTTAGTGTTCTAGGGAATCAGACTCCCCGATCATCTTCCCAATCAGAAAGGAATGATCCATATGGAGACCATTACAATGGTGCATGTTCCAACTCTACAGTTTAAAACTGAACTCTCTCTTTCCCCAAATACAGGACCATCTCACTCTCTCTAGTGCGTCTGTTTACCTGGTATTGGCAGCTTGAGTTTCTGGTCTTTGAGATATCAGCGGAACAGGTCAATCCCTCCATTAGATTAGGTTTGCACTTCTTCTGCTAGCACGATGCAGCTAAAGACTGTTCCAATTACAAGCTATCAGCAAACGTAGGCACATCAGAAGAAAAAAGTAAGGCGTCTGTGATACAAAAAAGCTGAGTTTATAAAGGAAGGATCCTATGGGAAACAATCTTATCTTACAAATAAAAACCCTCTATGCATGGATCTTTTTATAGAATTTGCTCTGTAGTAAAAACACTAATGGATTTTAATCTAAAAATAAAGATACTGTGAATTAGCCTTTCCTCAGTTCCACAGTAGACTGTACATACTGTAGATGCGGGTCAGAAGTCATTATGTATATAAGTGTACATAACACAACATGATGCATGCTTTATTTATGCAATGCCTAGAGTACGACTTTTCACTTCTGGTATATTGAGAATTCACTGAGACATTCACAAACAAAGCCATGTGAGAGGGATATTACAAGCAATTTGTTTGGTCGCTGGATTAGGTTGTGGGACAAGGATGGGATGTCCATGGAAAAAGTGAAAGGGCAATAACAAAATTGTTAAAATAATGCAATAAAGCCCTTTGTGTTTTGATTGAAAGCAGCTTCACAGATGGTTTGAACAGTGTATTTGTGATCACATCAATAGGTCTGGCATAAGAATGGGCTTTAAATCTGGATCTCTGTTTGTGTCTGTCTGTAGCAATTCTTCTTTATGATCATGGAAATATGGAGATTGAATAAACAATTCTGACTAACCATATAATGACTCGTCTCTCCTTTTGCTCTTTGTGGTTTGTGGGTACTTATGCAAGCTGTTCCAGTCAGGACAATCAAGTTGCGTAGAATCCAAACTGGATTGTTATACTCAATTGCCAAGAGTTAGAAGAAAAAAATAACCTTTTCCCCCTCCAAAATAAAATTACCATCTACAGAATGTAGCGATAAACCAGCCAATCAATCCCACAACAACAAATGAATCTTGGGACGTCCTCCCGACGTGAAAGGCGCGATACAAATGTAATCTTGTTGTCGTTGTTGTTGAATCTGATCAATCTCCCAATACCTCAAATATGACAAACAACTGAGATAAGCCACCCACTCATTTGCACTCCATATACTGAGATAAACCAGTCAGTCACTCATAGATCATTTACAAGTGATACTGATTAAACTCATAAACCATGTAAAAGTGACAGTGGTTACCCATTTAGCCACAGGTAACCAGTTAGCCATTTGCATCATATCATTGGTAAGTGATGGTGATTTAAAAAAAGGTTTAGAACTGGTGATTGAACCACAAGTTAGATACCATTACAATCAAGCAATAAACCACCCAGTCTTTATTCATTTTACAGTGCCTCATAACGCAACTAGTCTCAATCGTTTGGTCAATGGGCACTCATTCCTACAAGAGCTTTCAGTAAACAAAAGGATCAGTCATATACCAAGTTCAACCAATTTGCTCATACCGCAGCTCCGAGTGACCAGAGCCCTATTCTTTGAGACAGTTCCAGTGGTGAATGAACACTGTTTGCATGTCAGGATACCTCAAAACACATGGTTCATGATTTTATTGGAGGGTGATTTGTGGAGTGCAGTTATTGTGGAGTGAAATGATTCTGCAGCTGATAAATTGTATGTTTTTTTTCCACTAAAACTGGATATCGGTAACCCACAAATTCCAATGGCGGATACATGGCATATCCCAAATCCTGACAGATAATTTCTCATTCTGATACATCTTGATGAGTATGGGCAAAGGAAAAAAAACTCTTGCTGTGTTGGTCAGCTATAATACCTCAAAGGTATGGCTCCCGGACAAAGTGGTGATCAAGTATCAAAGATTTAACCAGCACGACAGTATCACTAACATTGCTGCATTAAGCTATGCCATTAAATTAGATGAAAGTATGTTAACTTATCACCTAAAAGTTAATGAGTCACTTGATTTCCTTAATGGATGTCTGTAAACCCAAAGCAACAGAAACTAATTCCACATTTTATGGAGGAAGAGTTACATATCTACGTCAATAATTTATAAAAAGCAATTAACTGATGGTTCGCGCAAAGTGGCGTGTTTGATATCTCAGCTTAAATTGGGACTGCATTGCTCAGAAAGGACACGAGACTGAGTGGTGTGGGAAATGGGAAATTCTACTCCTCACCACCATCGTTCACCCTGATGTGTACATCAATTCATTGTCCCTCCTCTTTTTTAAAAAAAAGAAACCAACAGATCATTAATTTCTGGGCACGAAAAAGGCTGTATGCGAATATCTCAAAAATAAAGGCTGCATTAACATTACTGGGGAAGCTAAGGACCAGGTGTGTCCTGTTTCAAGGTGGTCCATAATGAATATTTTCAAAAGGCTACAACCATGCTTGAAGACGTGTCATTTAGGGGTGGAAAAAAACTGATTGCCGTTCAACAGAAAGTAGCAATAATCTTTTGCAATCCGGTGTTTC